CCCGCTCCCCCGCCCCCGCCCCCGCCCTGCTCCCAGCGCAGGCCGCCGGCTCCTGGGATGCACCCGCTGCGGGAAGGGGCCCGTCCGGGATGCCTGCCGCTGTGCCCACCGCGCCCTGGCCGGGGGGGCAGATACCCCCTGCCGAGGCCTGCTCCCCCCACCCCGCATCGCTCGCCGGGGGTGGCCCAGCCCGTCCTCCTTTCCCTGGTGCCCGGCTGGTGGAAGCAGCATCGTGCCCGCCTCCCAGGCTGCCCGCACGCTCCTCCCGCCTGGGCTCCGGGCTCCTGGGAGGCGCCAGCCCAGGGACCCGTGCTGGGCCAGGACAATGGCAGCCTTGTGTCCCCCCCGGGGTCGTCATGGCGATGAGATTCCTCCGTGATGGGAGACACAGGCCTGACATTCTTCTCCTGGGCCGTGGCCACCCCCCGGACCCTCGCCCCACTGCCCCCTTGCCAGGAGGACACAGCGGGCAGCTGCCAGGGGGAGAGCTGGGTGCCACCCCCGAGCCCTGGGTTCAGGAGACCCCTATCAGAGGTCCCCCATCCGAGGGCAACGCTTTATCTCCAAATAAAATGCAGCAATCTCTTGCCCCACCCGATCCCTCAGCCTGGGGGGTGGGAGCCCAGGGCTTGGGGCAGGCCGGGGAGAAGGGGCACCGGGAGAGAGGGAGCAGCCCAGGTCGCAGAGTAGGTCAGTGGCAGAGCTGGCACCAGCCCTGGGGCTCCTGCCTCCCCTAGGACGCCCCTTAATGCCTCCCTCATCCTCCTGCTGCCTCTCCTCGAGCCGCCTGCCCGCCAGTGTCCCACGCACCTGGCATCTCCCCCGCCCCCTCCAGAAAGGTCCCAGGGCATGTCGTGATCTCCCTGGCAGCTGCCCAGGCCTGAGCACGGCAGCATCTCGCCCCAGGACACTGCCCGAGCGAGCGAGTCGGGGAGAGAGAGGACGGCCCGGAGCCCTGCTTTGCTCAGGCCCCAAAATGCAGCCACCTCTGGGGCTGGGCAGGGCGGCACACAGGAACGCGGCGCGCTGCGCAGGACCTGCAGGAGCATTTTTCCGAAAGGAGCCAGTCTCACCCCTGTCAGGGCCCCGCGCCGACGCTGGCCCACCAGGACGGGAGCGTGCATGCAGACCCCCGGCAGCAGGGCCTGGCCTGAGGCGGAAGCGCGTCTCCAGCCTGAGTCATCCCAGCCGGTCCCTTCCCTGCACCTGCAGTGCGACCCCGAGCCCCTCTCCCCCCGCGCACCTACCTCGGGTGCCCCCGGCAGGTCCAGCGCCTGCTCCGCACCGGAGCGACAGCGGCCCTTGCCCCGGCTCCCCGCGGCCGCCGCTCCCGTGCTTCCCCCGCG